GGATGTCAAGGAGTGGCAAAAGCAAAACTAAGCAGGCTGTAAGTTATTTAGCGAGGCTTGGAACTGCAATGAGGAATGAAACATTAAGGTTCTTTTTTTTTTTTAAGTAGTTCGTGGACTCTCCTTTGGGAGATTGTGGGAACACGTAATAAAACTAAGCTCTTTCGGCTAGGTTTGGAGTTTCACAAATTCATGAAGGATAAGACTAGCCATAGCTACTTGTCAAGATGGCTGTGTAGTACCTCCAGGAGCAGAAAGACCATCCATTTGAGTGCAGTTGGTTAGAACGTGGTCTGATAAAGCCAAGGTTGCAGATTTGATTCTCCTATGGGACAGCTGCATATTCCTGCACTTGCAGGGAGTTGGACTAGATGAGGCTTCCTCAACTTCGGCCCTCCAGATGTTTTGAGACTACAACTCCCATCATCCCTAGCTAACAGGACCAGTGGTCAAGGATGATGGGAATTGTAGTCTCAAAACATCTGGAGGGCCAAAGCCTCATCTAGTCCAGGCATCCCTAAACTCGGCCCTTCAAATGTTTTGAGACTACAATTCCCAGCATCCCTGACCACTGGTCCTGCTAGTTAGGGATCATGGGAGTTTTAGGCCAAAAACATCTGGAGGGCCGAGGTTGAGAAAGCCTGGACTAGATGGTCCTCAGGGTCCCAATTCTAAGCTTGCAGGCTTCCCATTGGGGCATGTGGCTGACTACCGTGCAAACAGGATGCTGGACTAGACGGGCCTCTGGTGCGATCCAGCAAAGTGCTTCTTGCATTCTTAAGTTCTCGCAGACAGCAGGTGTCTGAGCTGTACCACTGCACAATGCAGGTGGGTGGGGGAAAATCACACAACTGAATGTTCTTCCGTGCATGTATTCAACCCCTGGCTAATTTTAACAGGTGTTTATACTCCCAGCTGCCAATAATGCCTTTCCCAGGAGCAAATAAATTGGACAGAGTTAGGCAGAAAGTAGGTACAGGATCGTTGTCTGCACCAGCGGAAACACAATTATCTCTGTCTGGGAGCAAACCTGCCAAATTTCTGCAACATCTCTGCTCACGTGGAGATTTCATTTGGATCAGGGGTAAAGGGAATGTCTTTGCAGGCTGTCGTTGCAATAAATTTAACGTGAGCGAGGGATCCCTCAGGTTCTTAAAAAGTCAATGAAAACACACCCCGTCATTGCTAAACTGATCACGGCTCACTTATGCCAAACTGCTCTTCATTTCCTGCAGTGCAAAAACATTGAAAAGCCCCAGTGCATTATAAGTATGTATCATGCAAAGGGGGTAAGCTCATGCAACGCACTCACAAAGGAGACTTGCACACTATCGCAAAAGATAATTGCTCTGTGGCAATCATTTAGAAACAGTGCATTTCATACGGAGTGATGCATCTGCTTATTTGAAGGGTTATTGTCAAACCAACTGGCAGACATTCAAGAGAATCCCAGAAACACACACACACAGAGACACGCACACAAGCCCTAGGCTTGGTCTGTCAGTTCTTAGTCATTCAACCTTATGAAAGCAATCATGAAAGGAAGAGTTTCTCCTTCATCATCTCAAAGGCACAGCAGCCTACAGCAGCCTACAAATTTACGCACACATATAATTTGGCGAGAGGCCATTAGAGGATATGCTTTGCACAGCCCCTGTTCAGTTCCTGACATCTTGGCTAAAAGGGACCTCTCATGGGGAACACGTGGAGGCCCCTAGTAGATGCTGGGCTTCAGCATCCATCAACACTAGTCAGCATGACCAGTGGTTAGAGATGATAGGAGTTGGGAGTCCATCAATATCTGGAAGACCAGACATTCAGCCTGCGGAAGAAGAAGACTGAAAGCTGACATGATAAAGGTAAAGGTAAAGGGACCCTGGCCATTAGGTCCAGTCATGGCCAACTCTGGGGTTGCAGCGCTCATCTCACTTTATTGGCTGAGGGAGCCGGCGTACAGCTTCTGGGTCATGTGGCCAGCATGACTAAGCCGCTTCTGGCGAACCAGAGCAGCGCACGGAAATGCAGCTTACCTTCCCGCCAGAGCAGTACCTATTTATCTACTTGCACTTTGACATGCTTTCGAACTGCTAGGTTGGCAGCAGCAGGGACCGAGCAACGGCAGCTCACCCCGTTGCGGGGATTTGAACCGCCAACCTTCTGATCGGCAAGTCCTAGGCTCTGTGGTTTAACCCACAGCGCCACCCGTGTCCCTTTGAAGCCATCTTCATGATAGCCATATTCAAATATCTGAAGGACTGTCATGTGGAAGGTGGAGGAAGATTGCTTCCTGCTGCTCCAGAGGATAGGACCCAAAGCAAACATTCAAATTACAAGAAAAGAGATTCTGACTAAACATTGGAAATAACTTTCTCACAGTAGGAGGTGTTAGACAGTGGGATGGACTCCCATGGAAGGTGATGGACCTTCATTGGAAGTTTTTAAAGAGTGGTTGGATGGCTATCTGACGGGGATTCTTTAGCTGTGACTCTTGCATTTAAGAGGTTGGACTAGATTACCCTTATGGGTCTCTTCCAACTCTCTGATTCTATTATTCTGTGATCAGAGGATTTCCAAACCCATGGTGCAGAAATGGTAGTCTACACAAAGCAAAATGGGCCATGGTCTGACTTACTATATGGCAGTTTTCCATGAATGGAATGGGCTGTTGTTATGGGGGACCCTAGATAGAGTCATACCTCATGTTACGTTTGCTTCATGTTACGTTTTTTCTGGTTGTGTCCCGCGGCAACCCGGAAATACTGGAAAGGGTTACTTCCGGGTTTCACTGCTTGCACATGTGCAGAAACGCTAAATCGCGCTTCACACATGCACACAAGCACCAATTCACACCGCGCACCTGCGCAGATATGGCGCTTCAGGTTGCGGGCTTTTCATGTTGCAAACGAGCCTCCGGAACGGATCCCGTTCGCAACCACTGTATTGAAAACCTTGCATAGGTGGGGAGAGAAATAAACTGTGAGGAACTTGATCACTCACAACCGATAAATAAATCAACATTTTAAAATACATATTCCTTGTGTCGTCCAGAAAAGTGGAGGTGAGTGGGTTAAACAGCTCTAAAAGAGGCCAATTAAATGCATTGAAATGCCAATAAAACATGAAAAGTACAGCAGATATACAGAGGAGGGAAAGTAAGTACTAACTGGCTTTTCTTTCTTTTTTTGCTACCTGTTTTATGAGTATGTATTAGAAAAAAATAAAATCCACCCCTCCAGCAGGATTTAGGAATGGAGAGGTAAAAGCCAACACAGCAATTCCCTCGGAGCGTTTCGCTCTTGCAAACGGAAACACATCTGGAGTCAAAGGGCAGGTTGTGGATATTGTGCTTATTTGTTATTCGGAGAAATATCTTTAATATTGTAACGAGGCAAGAGAGAGAGAGAGGAAGAATAGAAAATGGTAAATGCTGCTGTTTCTCCCCCTGAGGTCATGTCTGTTCTGCACGCTGAGTCTCCAGATGCCAGATATTTCCCAGGGGAACACGGCTGCAACATCCATCGCTGTGTCGCTCTGTGAACTGAGCATCTCAGGAGGATATTTCATCTGTGGCGATGGTGACAGGTAAATTATCAGGGTGATGGTGATACCCTGTCACTACAATGAGCTTAATTCTATAGTTGGGAGGAGGTGGGGCTTTGGAGTCCTCTTTTGCCCTTCTACTGTTGCTCTCTGTGGTCCACTCCTCCTGGCACAGGGATGACTGAGACAGTCTGAAGACTGAATCCCAATCTTCAGTCCTACTGAATTTTAATTATGATGTCATAGCCTCCAACATTCCTCAGAGGAAAACAGGGACATTTTGTTCTACCTTAGTACCACTGGCCAGAACGATTCCTCCTGGTCAAGCTCCAATGTTATTACAGCGGTGCCTCGCAAGACGAAATTAATTCGTTCTGCGAGTTTTTTCGTCTTGCGATTTTTTCGTCTTGCGAAGCACGGTTTTAACGGTATTAATGGTTTTAAGAAAAAGGAAACAAACTCGCAAGACTTTTCATCTTGCGAAGCAAGCCCATAGGGAAATTCGTCTTGCGAAGCAACTCAAAAAACGAAAAACTCTTTCGTCTTGCGAGTTTTTCGTCTTGCGAGGCATTCGTCTTGCAAGGTACCACTGTAGAGGAAAAACACAAAACGGCAGCATTTTAAGCACAGAAATCTTTGAATTTATGTATTGCGTTTAGGGGAGTCTGAGGGGAAAAGAAAACCCCAAATCAATAAATACAGTGGTACCTCAAGTTAAGAACTTAATTTGTTCTGGAGGTCCATTCTTAACCTTAACCGTTCTTTAGCTAATGGGGCCTCCTGCTGCCGCCACGCTGCCGCTGCGCAATTTCTGTTCTCATCCTGAAGCAAAGTTCTTAACTCAAGGTATAATTTCTGGGTTAGTGGAGTCTGTAACCTGAAGCGTATGCAACCTGAGGTACCACTGTACAACTAACTGTGTGTGTGTGTGGAGACTATGCAATGTCACCATGCACTTATGAGTATTTTGGAAGCATGAGAACTTTGAAAAACCATTATTGTTGTGATTGTGCAGGTATATGATATGGGGTGAACCAGTGGTGTCACAAGGTGGGGGGGGCGGTTCGCCCCAGGTTCCATGTTTGGGGGGGTGACAAGAAGACACCCTGCAGGGTGCTTGCCCTGCTGCCCCGGGCCCGGCCAGGGCATGGTGGTGTGAGCAGCCATCATGCCGCCACAGCCGCATGTGGGGGATCCTCTGTTCACAGCTGCAGCCACAAGCAGAGGATCCCACCGTCCGTATGGCGTCCGTATGGCGTTCGAGCGGTGCCAACGGCAAACTGCTATGTACAACGCATGTGTGGTGTCACATGCATGCGCTGTAAGTAGCAGCACCGCACATGCGCTGTACATAGTGGTTTGCCGCCGGCGCTGCTGGAGCGCCGTATGGACGGCGGTGGGATTCCTCTGCTGCCAGCAGGATCTGCTTACGGTGAGCCGGGGGCCCCAATCCCAGCCTCCCTGGCTCGCCGTAAGCAGCTCCTGCTTTGCCGCTTTACAGCGAGCCAGGGAGGGGCGGACGGGAGCCACGGTTCCCCCTCCTTCCCTCCCTGGTTCGCTGTAAAGCAGCAAAGCAGGAGCCACTTACGGCAAGCCGGGGGCCCCCTCCCAGCCTCTCTCCCAGCACCCCGGCAAAGTGACATAGCTCTGTCGGGATCACAGAATGCTGTGTGAGATAGTAAGTCTGCAGGCTTGAGTTTGCTAGCTGATGCAATCAGCCTGCAATACTTTCTATGCAAGTGCTGGGTCAGAATGTCAGTTGATTGGCTGCCATCAGTTTAAAAGGGAAACCAGCCCAGCAGTAAAGGTGGTGGTGTAGAGGAATGTGGTCAGAGAGAGAGAGTTAGAGGTCTGCCTATTTGCCTTAAGGTGCAGCCAGGTACTCTGTTTGACTGCTCGTGTATTGTAGCCTGTAGATGTTGTGGTCTTTTAGTCGTTTAGTCATGTCCGACTCTTTGTGACCCCATGGACCAGAGCACGCCAGGCACTCCTGTCTTCCACTGCCTCCCGCAGTTTGGTCAAACTCATGCTACTAGCTTCGAGAACACTGTCCAACCAAGCCTGTAGATATTTGTATATATAAAGGTAAAGGTAAAGGGACCCCTGACCATTAGGTCCAGTCGTAGCCGACTCTGAGGTTGCGGCGCTCAGCTCGCTTTATTGGCCGAGGGAGCTGGCGTACAGCTTCTGGGTCATGTAGCCAGCATGACTAAGCCGCTTCTAATGAACCAAGGCTGTTTACCTTACCGCCGGAGCGGTACCTATTTATCTACTTGCACTTTGATGTGCTTTCGAACTGCTAGGGTGGAAGGAGCAGGGACCAAGTGATGGGAGCTCACTCCGTCACGGGGATTTGAACCGCCAAACTTCTGATCGGCAAATCCTAGGCTCTGTGGTTTAACCCACAGTGCCACCTGTGTCCCTATTTGTATATATAGCTCACAATAAATATACTGCACTGAAGAACCTGGAACTCTGAGCATTTCTGCTAAAGCGCTGCGAAGAATTCACAAGCTCTCCCTCTAACCCCGACGGCTTGGGGTACTTGGGAGTCACAGGGGAGGGGGCACAGATTTGTAGGAAGGGGGGCGGATATTCGGCGCCTGCCCATGACTCCCAAGCCTACCCCGCACTGCCAATGGGGGGGTGACAAAAAACTTCCGCACCAGGTACCCCCTGGGCTTGCTACGCCTCTGGGGTGAACTACCTCAGGTTACATATGCTTCAAGTTACATACGCTCCAGGTTACAGGCTCCGCTAACCCAGAAATAGTACCTCGGGTTAAGAACTTTGCTTCAGGATGAGAACAGAAATCGCAGAGCAGCAGTGTGGCGGCAGCAGGAGGCCCCATTAGCTAAAGTGATGCTTCAGGTTAAGAACAGTTTCAGGTTAAGAACGGACCTCCGGAACGAATTAAGTACTTAACCCGAGGTACCACTGTATATGCAAATGAACAAATAAGGGGAGACAAATGGGACCAATTTTGCATCCCCTAAATGCAGTTCTCATTGGAAATTTTGCATTTCAAAGGGCTCACAATGAGAGTGACTTCAAACTTCACACAGGGACTTGAGAGAATCCCAGAGACTAATTTTTGCAATGGCTGTGCAACTGTTTGGAAAGAGATTGATTGAGAAATAGAGAAGATTAAAAAGAAATGGACACAAGTTGAGATTTGGGGAAATTGTATTGGGGGAGGGGAAAAGGATCATAGGTCCATGGAGGACTAGAGAGGATGGGATTCCATAGGCAGCTGAGCAATGTGGCCATGCCAGTGGGCTGCTTTTGCCCAATGACTGGCAGCTGTTAAATAGGATGAAGTCCCAGAGGCTCTGGAGGGGGAAATAGTCCTGCAATCTGGCCTGCTCTCTCAACCACTAGCCGACGTATGACGCGGTGGTAAAAACAGAGAGCCAATAAGCAAAACTGGCCCCATGGCATCAATTTGGGAAGAAAGAGCAATTCCATGGAAGAGAGCTGGCCGTGTTTTGCCCTTATTTACAGCGTTCGTTAGGCTGAGTTATTGCTTCACTCAACATTTCCTCATAGATGGGAACTGCTGTGGCTGCAACAAGCTTTTCCCAGAAGTTCTCTGGAAAGGCCGGAGGGGAGGTGCCAGAAACATGCACCCCGATGCAATAAGCGGATGCACCATCTTTCCATAGGAAGCATACAGGAGGCAGCATTAAAAGCAGGTCTGGAGAGCAGAGACTTGCCCTAAAGACGTAACATTTTCAAGCAGGGAATTCAATGTAGAAAGCATTGCAAACCCCACCAGTCACAAGCACCTTTATGCATTCTTTGGAAGTATTTCTTCCAAGTACAGAAATCACCATATTGCATTATATGAGCCAATCTGCCTTATGTTGGTCGGATGACTGGACCATCTAATCCAGGGATGGTAAACCTCAGGCCAGGGAGATGAATGCAGGCCTCCATGTCCATATCACACCACTTGAGAAGGTGAACAACCTTCTCAAGCATCCCCAAGGCCTCTTCAAGCATCAGTTTTGAAGGTGCAAATGAGAACCCCACTCCCCCAGTGTGGGTGTGAACACTGGGCAAAATTCCCCGGTGCCAGTCTGAAAATGGCTCTTGTTCCCATCTTGGAAACCCTATGTTTCCCTTTCAGACTAATATCAAACATATACAGGTCAGAGTGTCTGCCTTGCACACACAGTTTCATCAGTGGGACAAGGCTCACCCCACATATTCCAACTTGCCCCTGCAATTATTTAACCTGGACACCTCAAGGTGTTCAAGCTGGTACTGAAAATATCCTAAAGTAGGATTCAAGGTGGACCAAAAGAAATAAATACACCAGCATTATATTGATTATGGCTGCCCATCCAAATTGAGAGAAGCATAGTAGTCATCAGTATACACTGAAAATTCAACTCTCAAATCCTTGGTTAGTTCTCTACTCTGAGGATAAGGGAGATGGATCAAACATCTCTAGGAGTTTCTCCAAATCTCTCTTCTTGCTCTTCAAAGCTGCTCCAGGGAAGGAAATGACATACTTATAGAAAGGGCTTTGCAAAGGAGCAGCAAGGGTCTCTCAGTACGAGACACAGCTGGCTCCTCTGTGCTCACTGAGCCGAGGAATCAGTGGTGCATTTTCTGCTTTAGAAACTTGGGAGGATGACAGCTGGCTCAGCTGTATTTCAGAGAAATTATTTCTAAGGAGAGGAAAACTCTGTGGGAACTTACTTCACCTTGACATTGCAGACAGTAAGTTCCATTTTGATTCTGTGCGCATTGGTACGGATGGAGGAGTCTGGACCCCAAGCCAGGGTGGGTGAGGGCTGGCAGAAATGCTGGGCAAAGCCATGGGACACTGAGCCAGGAGACGTTTTGGGGCAGTCAGTAGCAACAAGGAGCCAAAAGCAAACACTAGATGACAACAGTGAGCAATTTAAAGGCAGCAATAGCTGGCCATCAGCACCAGAGGGTTCAGGACCAAGGACAGCTCCCAAGAATCATGGATGTTGCTCCAATAAGAGTCAGAGCTTGGCAGAACCCATACATATAAGGTCAGACTGATAACTACACATGTGGAAGGCTGCCTGCCCCCTGTAAGAGTCAGAATGTTCACGTAGAACAGGGGGCACCACACATTTTGAGTCCCTGGGCATATCTGGCACTTTGAGAAAGTGTTGTGGGCCCCAGTTACTAAATGGCTGCCATGGGTGTATGGCGTAACACAAAATGGCTTTCATGGGGGCCTGGTATAAAGGCTGCCACATCTTTAAAAAACCACAGAGCAAGAAACAGGAACACAAAATGGTGTGACCATATCCAACCCACTCCACACCACACATCACAGGGAACATGATGTCTCCATTAGTCTCTACTGTGGTCTCCCACAGAGAAAGGTTCTTTGCACCTTTCCTGTGTTCAGAAGAGATGGATGGGTGACCAACACTGGCACCTAATGAAAGGTGGACATGGTTAACAGAACATGTGTTTAATGTGGGAAAGGCTGTGCCTATGCAAAGAGGAACTGAGCAAGAAGAAGAAATAGTCGGTCATGCATTGCGAATTTTTGAAGGAATAGTGACCAAAACCTTTTGCCATAGGAGGTCCTGGTAGGCACCACATTGAGAATCTCTGCTTTAGACTCTTGATTGTGTGGCCTCTAGATGCGCCTTCCACAAAAGGCAGATACACAACCACTGACCCTTGGGCTAAAACTGCTTTAAACAGGAGGGCTACCAGACACACACCTACAATCTTATAACAAATTTAATTGAGCAGATGCCCAGGTGTACTGCTCCTTCCTCTGCAGCAGGGGTGGCTAACCTGGTGCCCTCCAAATGCCAATGGACTCCCAACTCCCTTTATCTCCAGCCAGGATGGCTAATGGCCAGATCTGATGGGATTTGTAGCCCAAGAACTTTGGGAGAGCCACAGGTCACCCACCGCTGCCCTACAATCAAAAGGAGAAGAGCAACTAGAGACATATTGTGATACACTGGGGGTGTTAAATGACCTTTCAATACTAACTGTGCTTAAATGTATTTCATGTAATATATCCTAGGAGCTGGATGTAGTATGAGGCAGCCTTCACCAACTTGGTGCCCTCCAGATTTCTTGGATTACAACTCCCATCGACCCCAGTCAACTGGCTGCTGAAGGCGGTATGGGAATTGGCTAGAAATGTCAGAAATACCAAAAATTCTACCCACTTTGGTGAATAAAGCCGGACAGCACAGCTGCAATACATTTCATTTTACCTTTTGACCTACCCAAGTTGCTTCCACACTAACCAAAAATAAAGTTGCTGCTCTTGCATACAACAGCTCATTTGAGTAATCTGGTTTTCTTAGCTTCTACATCCATCCTATGAGATGCCATGAGAAGAGCCTACCTGGGAAAACCCGGAGGGTTTAATTCTTGACCGAAACGGAGATGATGATGATGATGACCAGAAGAACTGCCAGGCCGGCGGATATGACGCAGCACTTGAGCCTCCTGGCTCGTCGCTGAAACAGATAAAGGAAAGAAACTGGGATGAATACATCACCCTCGAGTGGTAGGACAGGCTGATCGCTATGGGGCATCGGGTGATACTTTCTGAGTCAACTGCAACTAGGAGC